CGTTTATCCGCGCCTAATTTCGAACCTCCGTGTATCTTTATTCTCGCGAAATATAACGACCGTCGTGAAATTTCGATCGGTTCTCCCCGTACGACTCGTCGGGGAAAAATAAGAAAGCATTCGGTAATTTTGATTTGCTTCAAAGAGACTTCCAACCTTACTCGATCGTATCCTTTGTGGTACCTCGAGCCGGAACGCGATATATTTCGCTCGTTTGATTACCGTCTGTTCGCGGAACGAGCGCGCGCAATTACGGAATTTCAATATTTTTCGTTCGGAACGAATCGCCCCCGCAGGGAGCGGAATCGTTCGCGGATAGATTTCATTCAAGCAGGTATAATGGATGCGGCCGAATCATGAATAAAGTTTTTACTTTAATCATAGGAGTACCTTTATTTCCCCGTTCCTCCGTTTTTTCCCTTTCTTCCCTCGCCGCGGTTTCGCTCGGAGGAAAGGAAAGGAAAGAAAGGCGGCGAATGGGATTCCTTCTAGAGATTCAGTGGAATTGAAAGCCATGGGTTATCATCTGTTTCTCTTACCTTTCTCCCGACTCTCTTCTCCGCGGCGGTCTTGGATGGCTTCTCCCGTCGTTCGTGATTCCCTCGTTTCGCTTTCGCCCGCTCTCTCTCTATCCGCCGTCCCACCATTTTCTTTCTTCCGCTGCTGACCCGGGTTCTTAAATTTTATATTTCTTGCCAGACCCTTGTTTGTCACACTCCTGGCAGGGAAACGATGCGTTAAACGAATATCGATGGTATTGGAGGATACCTGGCCGGGGCGATAATGGACTCAATTTCGCGGCAGTAGGGCGCCAGTCGTTTGGATTTCTCGCGTCCCGACACTCTATCGATTCCCTCGGCGAACCTCTCAGTGATTTCCTGGTCGTCCGCCATTGTGGAATCGTCATATCTTTCACCGCTGCCACGATCTTTCAATAGAAGTTACAAACACCCGCGTTCCTTATCATGTTCTACCCATTGTTCGCGTTGTGAGTTGTACCCGAGGTAACGACGTTACGAGTCCGTCCTTCTTCCAGCCGACCGCGAGGTTGAATAGAGCGCGTGCACTTTAATTCACTGGAAATTATTCCTACTTCGGTCCCTTATCGAACAACCGAACTCGAGGTATTTACAGCCGCTTTCGACGATAAGAAAGCATGCTTTAGTTACCTCTTTGCAGCGAAAGGAGAGCAATGCCACATTTCTTTTTCTCTAATCGTTTACACATGCTCTCTAATAAACTCGCCGAACATTCGATGTTCCTTTTCCACTTTGTCAACCTTTAACCCCTTGCCGTACAACGACGAGTGAGACTCGTGATCAAGATTTCGGGATTAGTTTAATAAACATGAAGCAAACAGCTATTTTGTTATTATCAATATATTATCTCGAAAGAAAATTTGTACATGAAGTGCAGACAATTTTGCGTTTTTTCTAAACTGCTGATAGGAACATTTTGCACGAGCTTAGTAGCAAAGGAAATAATACGGCAAGGGGTTAACAAGACGTCCATTTGCAATTGATTTCGAATATCATTCTCGCGTTTGATATTCAAACATATCGCGTGATTTTCTCTTAGTTTCTTTGTCTGTTATCTGTCGACGGATAGGAGGAGTATATAATAGAGGCTATCAATATCATCGAATTAAGTCCGAGTTGCACGTAACTCCTATTAAATCTCCGAGGCGGACCGCGGACGTCCAGCGTGGCGAGTCGCTGCGTTCTCCATTAATTTATTCCGCCGACAATTACAAAATTGCCGCCGCGTGAACGTCCACTCCCTATTCGCTTTATTTCAGTCGTTCCTTTTGCGCGCGGGCGGGGTGAAAAAATACATTGCGTGGAAAACGCCTAGACCTGCGGAAGACGGTTTCACTCGTAATATCGTGGCCGCGACGAGTTTCAATTTACCGGAGAGCGTGTTTATCCGCTGCGCTTCGGTGTATCGTCGTGCCCGGTCGAGTTGATTATTCATCGATGTTCGTTAAGACTCGCGAAAGGCGGATTTCCACATTCCCGATTCCACTGGGGGGCGTGTAAACTACTTCGTCATATATTACGCATCCGCGTCAAGCGGATGATTAGGGTTAAGGGAGAATTAGCGTACTTACGCGTTTCCATTATTTTTCTCGTTCCACGTGATATGCTGATTTCACCTCTCGTTTTCCTCGGCGATAATTACGGGTGTAACTCGCTCGAAGTGTAAGGTTTTACCTTTAAAACTTGTTTCATAGTTGCGCTTGTAGTAGAGCAGAGGAAATCCGACACAAGGGTTAACCCTTTGCACTCGGGAGGTGACTCTCACTCACCACTCGATTTCCTACAGTGAAGCTATAAAGTTTCATATTTAATATTATACTTCGTATAATGCATCAATCTGAGAAATACTGACGTAAAATAGCTTTGTCCGCCGACGTGAATTTCTCGTCGAGTTGGTTTTACAAAGTATCGTCTTCATCTCATCAGAAAATTTTGAAATATTTCTAGTGAGAAACTTCGGAGTGCAAAGGGTTAAAAGTGTCATTATACTGATTTACGCTCTACCGAACTACACAAAGGTGTCAATAAAAATATGCGCTAAATTTAAATCTATTTTAACATGCAATGTACATATCGTGAGCGTGACGGTTGAATTTTAATTTTTTAATCCGTACATCGTTTCGCTATATATAACAATATTAAAGATCGTTCAATATATTCTCTTAATAAAGAAAATACGCGTGCTTAATAATTCGTTTAAATATTATCTTCGCTGAATAATCTTATACTGTGATTACTGCCTTCCGCGTTAGTATTTTAATACAATGCTTCGTAAGCGTGAATATTATAATGCAGATGATACGCTATGATATTGTAACTGTTATTATCATTATGAGCATAATGAAACGAGGTTCACGGTATGCGCGGCACGGTATTCCGATTAATTCCGATATAAAGCTAAAGTTTAGTTCGCGTTGCGAATTTAAAGATGCGTTATGCATTCAGGTTTAGAAGGTTCTTGCCTGTTTTCGAGTAACAGTTGTATCCGAACACGAATAATTCCTGTTCCGTACAACCTGTTACGAGACGTCGCGCAGATCGGGATTCTGTAACACGGGTTCGGAATTTGCATTCGGTCTGTTTATGTTTTTGAGAACCACCTGGTACAACACGGCCGGAAACTTTTGCAATTTCTGTGTTCACGGCCGGTGTAAATGTTCTGGCTGTTAGCCAGCGACAACGTTTAATGAAATCAGCACGTTTGTATTGAATAACCTACACGGGACAATGAACAACCTGTAGATATTTGGCCAGCCAACTATGTCTTGGATGTAGGCGACCGGTCACGCTCGAGTTTGCTCAATAGACATCTATGAGGGTCACACGGAAACTCGCAGACACATGCACACTGTTTACGATTCACATTTTTACCGGAAACACTTACAACTATCCGCTAATAGCCTCGCGCGCTAGTAAAAACTCGAATAAACACGTTGTCATTGATGATCCTCGAACTTCCGTTTCCCTTTTTCAAATAGAACATATTTTTATACGAAGAATATTTCATACAAACTACTCGCATCGAATTTTACGAATTACCAGCGAGGCGAAGGGTGAGATAGTGACCTGAAATTTCTGAATGGCAAAGTGTACACAGTGATTGTAGAAACTGGGGCACACTGTACAAGTCCTTTTTAAACACGGGTGGAAAGAATTAACAGAGGGCAAAGTTGCAAGGGTTAGCCAGGTGTATCTTCCTCCGAACAAAGCAATTTCAGATGGGAGAGCGAGAGAATGTAAATTAAAAAGTAATACTATTCCGGTGCACTGGATCCACGGAAATTTGTTTCGTTAAATCCTCGCTTCCGCTGTCCGTTATTCTTGCAAGAGAACCTATCGGCGTTTCTTGGGGAGTTCTTCTCGAATGAACTATGCTCCTTCGCGTCTACTCCTCCACTTTCGAAAAGAAAGTCGATATCCGAAGAAAAACTTCGTTTCAGTTCTACTTAAAACACTCGCACCTCCGTATCCCGTGCGGCTGTTCGCGCGATTTGTATTCTCCCCTTTTTCCTCGTTCGAGAAACCAACTATAGATCTTATTAAATCATCTAAAATCCTGACCCGCGAACTTCTCCTTAATGTTCGCTCATTAAAGAGCCCGCAGCCTGTCCCAGTTTCTTGAATCACCTTGTATATTATCGCGCGGAGAGGCGGAAGCCAGCTCTTTTCACGTCCCGTTCTCCCTTTTTCCTTGCCTCTTCTTTATGTCCTCGGCGCGAAAACGCTCGACCCCAGTTGCATAACCAGGGCCGCGAAAGTAATTAGTATTTACGCCACTTTCAAAAGCGACGCCGGTGTCTTCTTTTCTTTCATCGCGCAGAAGTATGTTTTAACGCGGCGTAATGCAGAGAACCATGAACTTTGCTCGAGGATTCATAAAAGCGGCCGCCCAAATAACGCCCTCTTTTGTGCACGGGCGTTCGCGCACTGCCGCGTATGTGTGTGTGTGTGTGTTTGTGTGTGTATGTGTGGGTGTGTCTGTCGAGTGTAAAGGGCAATGTAATACGAGCACAGGAACGGAACCGGCCGAGCCACTGATACGACGTTCCATGCGTACCCTCGTCCTGTATCAGTTAGACGTTAATTAGAAATTAATGCCTAGTCTCTGGCGCGTCTTGAATAGCACTAATGGCCGGCCACGAATGGCCACGATTCACCGTGGCCATTGTTACTTGTACGTTTAGCGATCATGCTTGCTCAGGGAATTTTGGAGATAGAGTACTGCCGCTTTAACCTCCACGCGGAAATATACATTTCTGAGGAAATGTTAATGTAACTCGAATTGTTTTCGTCGTAGCGTTCCGTAATAATATAAAGAATTTTCCTGTCGAAATGTGTTTTACTTTAAATTGTATATAGAATGTTACTTGATAGAAAGGTTTCATCGAGACTATAGATTGCGCGTACTTTAAACTTAATTAACACTTGCAAATTAAATCAATGTCTCGTTATATGTTGTAGCCTTTAACGGTTGCTATCAAAGCAATGTAAACGACAAAGCCGTTTATAGAAATCCCGTGTACGCTTCGCCAATTAGCAATGAATCGGTCAGCTCGGAGTGACACAGTTGAGACGACAGTAATCTCCTCAGTTTCCGAGTCGCCGTACTATCCTGTAGACACCGCGGGCAAGGAAATCTGAAAAGACAGCTCCGGCGATTCACGCGATAGGATATTACGCTTTTATGAACCAAACGACCGTCGCCTAAGTGACAATGAAAATCTGAAGCATCCCTCGTATCATCTTCCAAATCCTTAATCCATCGGTTAAGGTCCGCGTCTCTCGTTTAGCGAGAAATACGCGGCCATACGGGGCAGGGTCTCTTTCACCGTTTAATCTCATTCATTTCTCGCGGAGCGTGAGCATACAGAAAAGGAGAGGAAGAATAATAGACAAGAGGAGGGTCGGGGAGGGGGGTGGCAGGGCGAAGAACGGAAACAAGGAAGAAAAGACACGCTCCAATTACGATGTTGAGAGCCTTCGGGGAGATTATAGATCCGGCACAATGACTGGCTCCGATCTAAATCGGATTTAGCTTCAATTCGTGTCCCGTCTCGTTGCCATCCACCATTCTTCGGATGCCTGGTACTCGTGCGCCTCTGACCACGTACGCGCGCGCGGCCCGGGCCCGGGGTAAGTTAAAACGCTCCGCGAACCGTGTATGTAGGTCTTCGTTTCAGTTAAAAGCGAAAGGGTGAAATCGGCCGGAAAGTGCCAAGCTTTTACACTTTTGACTTTAGCCGCAGCCAGAGCACGGCTCCCCCTTTCCGAGCGACACCGTGCATTTATCGTGTCCATTATTCCCGGCCAGACACGCTGTGCGTGTTGTTACACATCGCGTGACACCGCGAGAAACGATTCCTCTTTTTTTCCCCGCCACTCTCTTCCTCCTTTCCGCCCGCGGAATTAAGCCACAGAGAAGGTGCCACGGGGGCGGGCCTTCTTTGACGTTTCTCGTTAGAGTGGTATTGTTTTTCATGCGACGCGCTTCTTTGTCCGGCGTTCGCTAGGCACGGATGTCCCCCCGATACAAAGACCACGTAACAGTACATGGCCTGCCGCGTCTACAGCGTGTACAGGATGTCTTGGTCTTTACGGAGAAATTCGGAAAAATTTGAAATCGCCTGCCTCCCTTTTGTCCGGCGTCGTTAAACGTGAGCGGCCTGTTGATTTTTAATTGTGTTTTCATCTTCGTCGAGGAGGTAGTTTTTTTAGGACACCTTGTGTAAAACGTGCGGTGCACTTTGGAGACGATTTCGTGGAGTTCTTGATTTGTTATTCGTGGGCGTGAATTGATTGAAAGAAACGCTTCGCAAATATCGTTTGTGTCGAAATCATTTTTCAATTCACAGTGTGATTTACAATAGCAAACATTTCTCCTTTAGAGCGTTCGGAGACTTGCGTGACTTACGGCATTTCTAAATAGCGTATATAATATTGCAACTTTGAGCCGAAACACAGAGTATCTATGTTAGAAAACTAATAAGTTCTCATTTCCGCTTATATAAGTTTCGTTAATTTCAATTCCATTATCTTTCGCTCGCTTAAATGTCCACGCTTCCGAACAATTCGAAAAATTCAATTTTCTAGAAGCGAAGCTTCCATGCGGATAATTTAATTCTGTAGTCATAATTAATATTTTTTGCTCGGGCAGCCTTTTATTTAGTCATAAAATCCGTTAAAGGATAACCTTCAATAGTCTCGTGTACAAAGGATAATGGTCTTCGGAATTCTTTTTCCGAGGGAGAAATGCCTTACGGAATTTGTGTTCGATAATGAGATTTCCCTTTGGCGAAATACCGTGAAAATATTTTCTACTTCGGGATTACTGAACTAACCGAGCTTACCCGGTCCCTTTTCGAAAGCGAACATTATGTTCGCTAGGCAGATGCCAATACGATACGCGTGACTCGAATTTGTCCCGGGCTTCCTCTCGCGTTACCATTCACGCCTCCAACCCTCGCCGCCCCACGTCTTCCCGCATTTCTCCGTTCGTTGTCCCGCAAGTGACACAAAACCGACATTCCGTGACACGCTTTTAAACGCAAATCGAGCTCGAAACTATTTTCGATATCGCTTACCCGTTTCGGATCTAATGAACGGCCGGGGAACGGTTCCCGGGGCCGCGCCGCCCTGAAAACGTAGCTCCGTTCCTTGGTAGGAATTTAATTAATGGGACACCGTTTGTATGATGTTATTCGGCCCGCCAACCGACGCTATTTTCCACGCCGCTCCAGAATATGAACCGGATTTAAATTAAAAGTGTTGAGAACTTTAACGCGGGATTTCAGCCCGACCAATCTGCTGGATTCAGAGCTAATTAAATTCACCGCTCGGCTTATTGCGGGCTTTCGTATTGTAACTCCGACACTCTCGTTATTACGCGAATTACGCGCGATGGCTGTAATAATGATTGATGATCGCTGACGGCGGCGCGGAATTTTCGTACGCATCTTCGCTTGAAATTTCGCGATCGGCCGTTCGACGATAAAACTGGAATTTCGTATAATTCCTAGAATACGAACGGATTTCAACGAAAAATTGATACTTTTGAAGTTAGCGAGACGGTTTTCAGTGAGAAATATAGGTAACGCGCAACGTGGACATAGTTCGACGGTCATAGAATTCGAAAAACTCGATTGAATCTCTCGGCGAATACATTTCCGATATCTAATTACCGTTCTCATCGGGCCGCCGTGGTATACGTGATCGCGCGGCGTCCGTTAATCCGAAGTCTTAACTTAATGGAATTAGTTTATGGATCTCGACCGCAGATAAACGTAAACCCTCCGTTTTCCTTCCTTCCGCCGCCCACACCCTCCTTTTACACGGACTCCACCCCCGAGTTCGCCGTCTCCCGTTCCCAGCCGTCCCATTCCACTGATTGTCCCGTGGTCTCCATCTTGTTCCCGGCTCCGAGATTCTCCTCGCCTAGTCGCGAGATCGAGGGTTCACTGCCGACTATGATGGCAGAGTGTCAGATGATTTTGCACGCAATACTCCCAGCGCCATTGTACGAGGCGCGCGTGTGCGCGCAGACCTCGCCTAGGAAGCAGTGGCGGTTCAATTAGACGAGGCTACGTTCCCCGAGTCGAATCGTCGACGCTCCGGGCGGAATAAACAAATGTCGATGAGTCAAAGGAAGACGCCCGTGCGTTTTCCATCCGCTCGATCGACAAATGGAAATGTGAATGACGGATAAACCGAGCCTGTTCGCCGCTTGAACGTCTCCACTTTGCGTGCTCGCGCCGTGAAAACGTGACGCGGTTGTATCAGACTGTAATTCCTCGAGACGCCGATTCATACGTGAAACGAATTAATTCACGCTCGTCGCACGAGCAGTCGGTTTCACCGAAAATCGTTCACAATTTCCCTTTCGAGTAGGTTCAATGTTGTAGGACATCTTGGGTCGAGACAGTGAGATACATTTTCTGGCGTGTCGCAATCAACTGTGAATGTCTTGTTAATGTTTTGCAATTTCGTATCTCTGACGCAATTTTGTGCTGTCGATAAATCCGTTCGGTAAGACAAAAGCGGCGATCTGCTCTCCCGAGGGAAAAATCATAAAATCTGCCGTTCGTTCGCGTGCCGAAATGGGACTACGGCCTTAAGCCTGGCCAGCAGCGGTAGGTTGGATTACAAAAGACTAACGAGTTGTTAAAATATTAATGCCCGGAATTGGGATTTCTCGTTACGAGAGAGTGAACACACTCGGCAAAAGAGGTACCGTCTGATTGCGGGTGGAGTGGGGGGCACAAAGGAATCGTTACACCGAGAGTGGAAGGGGCTAAAGGGCTGTCTGCGGAGCCGCGTAACCGGAAGGCGGCCCGGGGTATCCTGGTCTAGGCTGCAAAGATTATAATTAAAGACAAATCTTTATTCGCGAACCGGATGAATTCGGAAGGTCTCCTCATGATCCGCCGTTGCTATAGTTACGATGAAAGCGGACAGGGATATCGACCGAGAGAGGCAGTGCGCTAGGCGGACGCACTCAACTCGCTCGGTTAAGTCGTGGGGGGGCGAGGCGGACGGGAATAAAGAAAAGACGGGGTTGGGACGCGCGGGCGTTAGACGGCGGTCGGGCCAGTATTGCGTGGCGCCGGGAGAAAAAGATAATTAGTTAATTCCCCGAAGTATAAGTAAGTGGAAATTCCGCGTTCGCATTCTTAAGCGTTCGCGTCTTGTTCCCGCGAGGGGCGGCGGACGAACCCGTCGGGTGCCATTGGATCGAATGGAACACGAACCCAGGCCAGTCTGTTTTCAGCTGCCCCCGCGCTTAATGAAGTTATTAACTCACAAAGCGATGTAATTAGCGGACGGGAGAAGAAAACTGTTTCAGCCCGGAGCGCGAATTCCTCGCGCGCGGAGCAAGTAACGCAACCAATTATCGTTTGATGTGTCGCTGACCAATGAAGCCGACGCGCGAAGAAGCCGAAGCTATCGGCGCGGAAAGAAAGCTCGCCGGGAAAATCGTCGTCGGGCATTGTTTCTTATCGGACGCTCGGGGCGAGGTGATAATGTACCGGCGCGATCGCGGAGACGATTCTATTCCCGTCGCGTTTCATTACCGTCTGTTACATTGAAATTTACCGCGATAACGCCGGCAACGCCGAACGGAGCAAAACCTCCTGTCAAGTTTCACGAACATCTTACCGATTTTTGCGTGTTCTAATTGCAAAACGCGGCCCCCGCTCCTAGCGAGAGCGTTGTTTTCTTCGCGAGCTCCGAGTTATGAATAGCGGAGCACGGCAACGATTCCTAGGACGTTACACCACGTGTTTTCGTGTTGTTGAACTGCTCGGCTTAGCATGATTCGTCGTGATGAATGGTTCGAACTTCGTTGAATATTTTGCGTTGAAATCACGTTTATGGAAACTTGCACACCGCCGGCGCGGATGATAATTTATAACTGAGTTGAAACCCCGTCGACGTTGCTTTTGTGCCAGCACAATATGTTTTCGAAGCGTTGACATTTTACTCTATCCCCTTGC